TGTTGGTGCCAGAGGTGTCATCAGACCATTCCGGGTGATCGAGGCCCAAGTCGTTTTAGCATGAGAGAGTTTTTCTTGAGTCACTTTAATTTGCGGTTCACTTTGCTCTTTAGCGGCACATTCTGTGATCTTGCTGCCAGTAGGCTGGCTTTCAGGGCGCGAGGGAAGTGCTGGGAGGACTGCACCCGGCCCCGATATCATGAATTGAGCTATTGCAGCTCTGATGTAGACCTTCATGGAGTCTATAAATTGAACACTCGTCCCTTTGGATAGGGGGGAGAGAGCATTCTCGACACCGTTTATTGCAGCAGTGCAGATCTTTACATTTTCCGCAGTTTTTGCAGTCCGGCGTTCTTCGGCTTCGATTAAGGCCCGAATGTCGGAGGGAAATTCTTCTGTCGGCTTGGGGTTATTTTCGCTGAAGGAAGCGGAATTCTCCTCTGTAATCCCTGATGTACCTTCAGGGGGGTTTTTGAGAGATGCGGCGCCTTTTTCCTTACTATTGTGTACGATCGCAGCCCGCCTAACAGCAGGGACAGCAATTTTTCTAGTTGTAGTGGCGGAGATGACAGTGACTTGGTGTTACGGTTTGACCGTGGTTTAGCTTAGGCGGAGACCTAAGCGGAGTTTGGGGGCGTATTCGGGAGAGTGTTACACATTATCTTGTATCAAGCGACTTAGTTTCACTTGGCCACATTACATTAAAGCTAGGAAGGAATGTGAGACGGCGAAGTAGAATTGCCAAGTGAGAGGGTCAGCTAGATGGCAAAGATGACGACGGGCAGTGGCGAAGCAATATGTCATTCTCACCAACAGAGTACGTATTGGATGAGCTAGAAGGATGTACAAATAGTCATTGCCCGTAGTTGTGATACTTCTCTCTTCATATAGTTTAATCTTTCTAAAAGTACACTACAACCAGCTTGGTTTCGTCACACTTGGCTGTCTTCAAAGTCTTCTACGTTCCATCTGGAGCTACTGAGGCCCTCTTGGATATATATGTCGATTGTTTTATCGGACATTTCGATGCCTGGGTTGCTGGAGCTGGTGTTTTCTTCGAAGGTATTGATCCTCTCGATAAGCTCTAAATCAATTTTTCCATGGTCGATAATTTTGGCTATCGATTTCTTGTCGATCATGCGTCTAATCACTTCTGCGCTCTTCCAAGGGCGTCGATAACACGACCCTCACGCGATTTTTTCGAGTGTATTTTTTTTTGTTTCAGATTTTAATTGCATATGTAGCTACCTAGCAATGACATAATATCAAAGAAAAGTACAGAATAGATGATTCAATTTAAAAGTAGAGCACTCATGCCTCAGATTTCATGTGCAAGTACCACTGCGAAGTTATGGTGGCTTTTTCTTCACCCCAAGTCAACCCTCATCCGCGAATACCCACCCAGGGGAACGTCTCAAAAACCCTGAGTTATCTAGACATGCCTCCATCATCTTTTAACTTTTCTCCGCGCGGTATGTGATCTGAGGTGTCTCTTTCCCAAGTGGAGTAGGTGCCCAGGCTGCTCAGACTGTACCGGAGAACACCACCAGGAGGCGGACCACGGCACCCTCCATCGTTTGCTTGTTTTTATAGTGTAAGCTGCATTCACACAAGCGAAGTCTTGGCGCGCACAAAGCTGAATTCGTAAAACTCCTTGCCGAATTTCCAGAATTCACGCCCTTCGAGGTAACATCCTTCCTTTGCATCATCTTGTCAACTTATCCTAATCCCCCTCACGTCCATCCCGAAGAACGGTCTTCCATATTTGTGCGCCACGCTTTGCTTCATCCGGCGGGTGTAAATATCGGCGTGAGCGTGTATTTGGTATTCAGATGAAGCCAGAAAAAGACGATAAGTGGTGTGGTCATCGGGATGAGGATGCACTAGGTCGTACTTGTAGACTTGATGAGACTTAGGCAGGCGTCAAACTCTTTGGGAGCGAAAAAACGACGTGGAGGAGTAATTTGAATTTTTGCCTTGTGGACCAACTTCTTTGATATTGCGAAATTTGACTAAACTTGGCTCTGGGAGAATATTTCACTCCCAGGTTCGTAGAGGACACCGCGTACAGGTGTTCAGTCTTACCCTCTAACCATACTTTGCTTACGAGAGTGCAGCTGACACTATTTGGTGTGTGTTTTTTATTGTACTGCTTGTGTCATAGACTATCTTGCACATTTGATGTGGTTATGAGCTATGCGGAAGTTATATTGCGGAGTGATGAGGAGTGGATGTTGTTATAATTGTTTGTTGACAGTGAATAGACTCATACAATATTATACTGTAGGTATATGGACAGAAAGTGTAAGACTAAGCCTGTCTCCTTTTAGCGTGGATACATCTATGAAACTATATACATGCTCGCCTAACCAGTACACTAGTGATGTATGCCCTAGTCTCGACTACCTCGTTGTCTCATATCAAAACGACATTGGGCTCCTCTCTGGCCCAGGCCAAGCCTTGTACAGTGCTTCTTGCCTCTTTTGTTATTTGAAAAATCATTGATATATTCCCCTTGATGCATAGCCATTCTGCTCAGCGTTTACCCATGGAATTCGGCCACCTTTTCCACAGATCCTTCTACCCCAAAAAATGGTATTGTCGAATGACCTGATGACTTGATGACCTTCCAGGTATTACTTTATAAACGATGACTAATCATGTTGATGAGTAATGAGTTACCTGTTTAGGAATGGCGTCAGAAGAGAGGGATAACTGCTGAATATACGTGTTTCCTTTAGTTAGAAGGCGAGAAAAAAAGATATATGTTAACCACCAATTTTTATTACTGCTGCAGAAAGCTTCTGATATAAATACCACCCGAGTATTCCGAAATTAATGGATGACGAAGTCAGATCTGAATAACTCAGGGTTTTGGAGAGGTTTCCCTGGGCGGGTATTCACGGATGAGGGTTGACTTGGGGTGAAGAAAAAGCCGGCATAACTTCGCAGTGGTACTTGCAAATCAAATCCGAGGCATGAGTGCTCTTCCCTTACGTTGAGTTGTCTTTTCCGTAATCTGTCTCCGATATTTTGTCATGGCTAGGTAGCTATGTACAAAATTACAATTTGATGCAAAAGATGATGTCACCATTTATTAACTCTAGAGATCCGCATTTACGGTGTACTGCTGCACAAGCCAACCAAAAGCTCCATGTGCGGCCCACCTAGATAATTATTAATTCTCTCCCTTCTGAGTCCTAGACTTTATGAGGCATGTAGGTCCTCTCTGTCTACAGGCCAGGGATACCTATCTATTAGTATATCCGCTCCTATGCCTTCCATACAGCTCCCCTCAAACAGTACCACCACTCACAAGTCCTCATTGTATCATACACTAAGAGGAGCCCTTTGCCCTTCATTATCTCCCCTCTCCAGCCAACGAAACCGTGGCCGTTTGCGAGGGTATGGCGGCCGGGAAGATTCGCAAAAACTACTGAGTGCGGGGCTCTTCTAATACCGACAATAGTACTAGGCCTAAAGTTATAGTATCACCTGTAAGGCTCATAGCTGGCTAAACCCTGTTAGTGATGGATGGATGAAATAATCTTGTGGGGGCGCTGAATCCATTAGCGGAAGATTGGAAATTAGTAATTACTATTTATAGCTCTCCGCGGAGAGTTATCGACGGCGTAGGTGCCAACGTTTGAGCTCGCTTAGCACCTGTGCTATTCGACCAACCGTTTCGACCTATCACGGTTCAAGTGGGTATCCTTGGCATGTAGGCATAGGGCACGCACACGGTCTCCATTGTCCAAAGCTGAGAATACGAGGCAATTTAATAAGTCTACCCAGGTATCTTGTGAACGCAAGCGACTCGGAATGTCTGCGTATGTGATCTTATCGACAGCTACCGGCAATAAATGGACTCATGCAATGCAATCTTGTTAGGATGGGATCCAAAAGCTTACATGTAGACCTGTACCCTGTTGATATAAGCATATCCAAGGGCCTATAGACATATTTGCCTGGTCTATACCCTGCTATAGCCTGTCACTAAATCTAAACTCTCTATTTCCAACTTAACCGCATAGCAGCCGCAGGTTATCAATTTTGACCTGCTGGAAGAACGATAAGATGGTACATCAATTAAGCGCTTTTTCATGGAATCTTAAGAAATTAATACAGTATGCTACGAGACCGGAGTTTGCTTGATCGGGGAGGTGGTGCAGCTTATCCAACGGCATCAATTATGACATCATGGACCCCACACCCTTAACTCCCCTCTTTGACAATCGTGTAAGACCCTTGAACTATTAGGTTACAGGGTTTACATTAAAATTTACACGAACTACCGAGCTGCATAAAAAATTGGTACAGATGACCGAAAGCGAAATAACTTCATAATAATAATAATCCATTCATGTCCTATTTGAGTTCATAACTATGTAGGACAAACAATTTAAATACAACTTATCTTTTCCATTCTAATTGCAGTTTCTTTAATTTGATGGTGGGATCCCCATTACTGGTTCACCAGGGACGAAATAACTTAGATACAGTCACCAGACGATCAACTTCGGAACAAAACTGTTTTAAGAAGATTTCAAAAAGTAGTAAGTGAAGATTTGATCTTGAATGTATTGTAATGAAACTTATTGCTTTTCCATGGCTAATGGAGATACTGCTAAGCCTATGATAACAAACCCCCGATTTCTTTCCACTGATGAAGTTTCGAACAGGCTTGTGCATGTTTTGACGGGAATGTGCATCATTATATATAGATATTAACGCTGTAAACATCATAAAGGTATCTATTAAATTTTTATTAAGTAGTTGGCTACCGAATGGTAAGTACTGTTTCATACCCATGCCGAAATATTTTTCACTCCAAGCTCCTGGTATTAGAATTTAAGTATTCACTTTTGGGAGGGGTTTTCCCATAGTTGTTTACTTCCTTTTAATGTATTTCTGAGTATTGCAATCTTCAGAATAATTCGTCTAAATCGAAGTTTCGATTGTTGGTACAATCATGGCTATGGGCTTGTACAAATATTTTGCTAGCTTTGTAACTTGATTTCCTTTTGATCATTCGGGGAAAATCGCATTCGAAAACTTTTATCTGAACGCAGTGAGCTTGTGATCTAGGTATTCATACTGGTTATTGGTCAGTTGAGACTGGCTTACCTTGATGCCGAACTTTGTACAAGAATTCCACGATAACATCGTTTTCCACAATGCCCATACTTTTGAAGTGCTTTTTAACCGCTGCAGCCAGCTGATCTTTACTTTGCCTTCGATCACATTTCTTACTGGCCATTGTCGGTGACATCCTACCCATACTTGACTTGGAGAGTGTCATCTGGTTGTAAGATTTATGAAAGGCTGCAGGTGTATTTAAACGATAATCGTAGCGATACGCATGAAGAATAGGTGACTCGAAAGAAGACCATTGGAGCTAATTTTTGTTATTACAAGTCTTAACTTGGAGTTTTGATGGGACTAACCGGATTCTGATCTCCTGGTTCAGAATTCATTGATCCTGTTACCTGTGGACTGTAGCATGCTTCATTAGTATCTTGCGATGAGCTTCCAGCGACGGCCGGTCCTGCCAGACGTCGACATTTGCTGCTGGTGATGGAAGTATTGTTTATGCTAGATTTTTCTTTTGTGCTAACAGCATCCGATCTTGACTCATCAAGCTTGTGTTTTTGAGGCGCCATTTGTAGTAAAGTAACGTATTGAGGCTGTTTGTTTGTTTGCTGCCTTCCTGGAATCCATTGATAATGGCCTAATCATTAATAACAAGCCACTGCACGGCACAATAAAATCTGTCGGGTGAATTATTCTCCGCGCTGAGAATAATGCATAGATTAGGTTAATGATGATTAAGCCTTTCTTGCTACGTTTGGTGGAAACTGTGTTTATTGCAGGGGAGTGTTATCGAGCCCAAGGTCCCTGAGTGAGACTTGACAAGTGACACTCCAAATAAGCGAGGGTCAGTTTGTTACGATGAAACAGACAATTTTAATCGCGATCCAGATCAGGACTGTCAATTTTCGGGATTTGTGAACGTTGCGGTACAGTGATTCACAAGCGATTTATAGTTATAAGAGAGATAGAACATTTGATTTTCGTAGGATTATATCGCATAGATTCAACAAAAGAGAAGATTAAATAAATAATTTTACAAATAATATACATCGTTAGATTCCACGATTAAGGATTTGGACTCGACACCTGTCTCACGTTCATTCTTACTTTAGTTATTTCCCTATCCTAGTTCATATATTCTTCCCTATTCGCATACGTATCATCAAAATTGTGCAGCCAATATCAACCGCTTGAACTTTCATCTGTGAGACAAAACATACACTATGCTTGCCAGATTTGACGGGCCTGCACCTTTCCGAAATAGAGGAGCTCCTCACTAGCTGGTCTGGTTGCCTGCATAAAAAGTTCATAATAAAAAAAGGTGAGGCAGGTTAAGCTTTGCGATGAACTGCGGAAACGCCTAGGTCACTCGTGTAGGACATCTTAAAGAGCATCGGTGGTGTCTTCGAAAAGTCCTTGGCTTTTACTGCAGAGCCTGTAAAGCTGGGATGGAGTTCAAAACTAGCCAGGAGGGCTTTTTGGCCGGCATATCATCGGCAATCTCCGCTATCCAAGACAGCATAGAGAAGTAACACTTCCCTACTTAACAGCACAAACCTCCAATCAAGACCTTAATAATCGGTCCTTGACTCCTAGGAGATATAGAGCATAGCTTAGGACCTAAAATTTATATTAAAAAAAAAGACCTTAATAACACCTCATCATGACCCTCAGTTTGCCCAGAGGCGTGAACGAATAAAGGAATTTGAAGGAAGCTACACGGCAGAGATTAACACCTAAAGCTACACAAAGGCCTGTAGCGCTCAACTCTCTGGCCTTTCTTATCGCCTCAGAACAGCAGTCGTATATTTTGATTTAGGCCTGAAATGATTATCAGGGGAGCAAATACCCACCAGATAATTATCTATATTGAACAACTGCCATATACCTACAAGTAGCTTTTATTTCGCCGGTCGGAGAGAGGAGAGGACCAAAGGCATTTCGCTCATATAAAAATAGGTCTGGTGAAAACTTATTAGAGTCACGGTGTCAAGGGGGCTGTTAAGGATGTTAAGGGGAGGATTAGCTACCCAAGCCACAGGTAAACATAGCCAGAAGGTAGAAAAGGCAAAAATTGTAACATAAGAGACCATCTGCATCAAATATTTGAGAAAAATAAGTAGAGTCAAGGAGCTACAACTAGTAGACTGACTAAGGTGAAAATTTATCGGGCTTTCTCGATGCAGTTTGGGATATTGGAATTTATGAAGGAAATTATTAGAATGAGATTCTTGTATAAGAGTGGTACGTAAGTACTGGAAGTAGAATTGATAAAGTATTGAGTTAATCTATCGTGTATGATTCTCGCGATCGCTGCATCCTTCAATGCTGCGCCCATACTCCTATTAATAGGTGTCTGCCAGCCTCGTCTATGCGCTAATACGGAACTACTAATACAGGGTATCTAAGATCTCCAAACGCCTTACCCTCTATACTCCTAAGTAAGTAATAAATACAACCATAACTCCATTATGTTCAGGCACAGGAATGATTATGTTTGACCAACAATCTTATAATTCAACAGAAATAATGATCCCTCAGTCATTGAGATTGTGTTGCGCATTGATTCAAGTAACTCCCGAAGCGAACCTAAGTACATAATTTTTAGTCACGTGTAGATTAGCAACGTGGCCCACTTGATAGCCCCAATTATTATATTATTAATTCATTTTATTGTCCTGTCTGAGTCTATGACTATGTAGGACATGCAGGTCCTCTCTGCCTACAGGCCAAGGATACCTATACCAGTAGTATATCCCCTCCTATGCCTCCCATACAGCTCCCCTCAAACAGTACCACCCCTCACAAGTCCTCATTCGATCATACACTAAGAGGAGCCCTTTGCCCTTCATTATCTCCCCTCTCCAGCCAACGAAACGATGGCCATTTGCGGGTGTATGGCAGCCGGGAAAATTCGCAAAAACCACTGGGTGCGGGGCTCTTCTAATACCGACATTAGGAATAAATCCGAAGACATATTGCCCCTTCTGAAGCGTTCGAAGAGGCCGGCCAGCTGGGCGCTGCAGACTTGTGTGTACCTCGGGAAATTCACCCTCTGCCTTTCTAGCCTCCTTCCAACTCCTTCCCGAAGGTCGTGCTGAAATGTCAGAAAAGTCTTGACAGAGCGTGATTGCTGTATAGTAGCTTAGCCTAACTTCTTTTGTACCGTCCAGGGCGCTGGGGAGTGCCGTTGACTCATCGACAAAAGAAGCCCTCCTGGCTAATTAGCCGAAATCTTGGTCTTGGCGCCCACAAAAAATCCAAAGTTGGAAACTCCTCGAAAATGTCAGTCCCAACACAGTCTTCAGAGTCTTCTTTCTCCTCTCGCTCCACATCTCAGCTGCCTGTTCTTCCTCAAGATGTATAACCCCATTAGAGCAGCAGTCCCCCATAAACCAAGACCCCAACTTTGTATTTTTCGACTTGATTTCCTCCTTGCGGGTATAAATAGCGTCGTAAATATGTAGAGAGTGATGGCCGGTAATGAATGAGGCAAGCTCCTGTTTGCAGTTAGGGTGACGCCTCTATCGGTCGGCGAGGCGAGTTGATATGTGCTTAGATCGGGGTTGAGGACTCAGAAGATAATGAAGAGTGCTGCATGGTTGAGAAGTCGTCAAATGGAGATATACATGTGTTTGCTTTCGACTTCGATTCGGATGCGATTCTTCTTGGCTATCACAGATATGCAGAGCATACTGAGCGATTACACCGGCACCACTGGAAGGTGAAGAATTCGTCTTTGCCGGCCCCAATTATTATAAATTCCAACAGAATTAGATATATAAACTTGTAAAGGCTAGATGCCCGAGTATGCTACAAACTAAAAATTACTATCGGATAATACTAGAAGCATAATTTTCCCCGGCTGCCACACACCCGCAAATGACCATCGTTTTGTTGACTGGAGAGGGGTGATAATGTCGGGCAAAGGACTCCTCTAAGTGTATGATCGAATGAGGGCTTTTGAGGGGTGGCACTGTATGGGAGGAATAGGAGGGGATATATTACTAGAATTGGTTTCCTTGAACTGTAGACAGAGAGGACCTGCATGTCCTACATAGTCATAGACTCAGAAAGGACAAAAAAATTTCAGTACACAACAAGCGCAAGGACATGAATTTCAGGCTCAGTTAGCCGCGGGGTTTTGTGACGGCTACTAAGCCGACAGGGGGCTTATAGCATTTCCTACCCAGCACAGGCATTTCCATAAAGTCAGCACTAAGTTGCGCTTGGATTCCAAGTCGGGCACTGACGGTGCGCTGAGCAGCGATGCGAACCAGCTTATACTCAAATAATGAGAGCTCCACTGGAGAGCAAGACTGAACACATTGTATTGTTGAATGTGTCTATTGTGCTACTCATGTCTATGACTATTTAGCATATTGGGCTCCTCTCTAACCCGGGCCACACCTTGTACAGTGCTACTATCCTCTTTTTTTTACTTCAAAGATCAATGATATATTGCCCGTGATAGATAGCCACTCAGCTCAGAGTTTATCCGTAGACTTCGACCATCTTTTCTACGGAACCTTCTACACAAAAAAAAGCTAGCAATGGAGACTGCGTGCGCGAGAAAAAGTCTCAAAATACCTGCAGCCCCAGGCAGGCGAGGCCGACTTGATCCAATCCACCATCTCTGTTTCGGGTGCTGGGTACGCTCCGACCCTACCATCTGATCTGATTGTGGTTAGCTTCATGATAATGGTGATAGGGGAATGTGTTTATAGATGAAGACAATACAGACGGCGAAAGCGATTGGATATCCTCATCGAAGTGAGGACCTTGTTACTCAATCTCAGCTCCGCAGACTCTACGGTGAGAGCTGGAGGTTCGTAGAGGACAACACTGACAGGTGCTCAGAATAGAATAGAATAAATTAGAATTTAAGTCCCTACTGTGTCTATGACTGTGAAGGACTCATGTGTTCAGAAAAGTACACTAGTATCTTTAGGTTTATCTGGTGGAGAATAGTTGTCTATATGATTTACGAGAAAACTAGTCCTTGAAGACTGGGATAATTAGAGACAAGGTAGTTGGAGGCTGTAGTTGGTTATCCCAGCAATTGAAGTTCTTAAGAAAGATACGTGGGACACGGTATTACGTTGTAAATGTTGACTAGATAGCCCTGATGCTGCAGATGAAGTGTATGTACTGATAGTCAGGTCATGTGACCTGACTAACTTAGTTGACATGAGTAGGTGAAATAGTTCCCCTTGGCAGAAGTTTCAACTTTGTTATTTAGTGGCATTGTTGAATTTAGCCGAAAAATATAATTCCAAGCCACCTACTTTCCAATTGAAGATGCGCTATCTTTCGAGCCTAGAATTATACAGATAACAGTTGTAGGGTGTTGGGGTCTGGCGAGACGGTGTGGGAGATATGGCTTCATTAGCACTGAGACAATAGAAGGTGTGCCCTGATGGCCACATAACACCAGCACTTACTAAGCGTCATGCTAGATGTAAAAGCTAGACCAATTTGCCACGTCACATCTGTTTAATAATTTTTGAATTATCTAATGTGTATTCAGCTGTCTAACTATGACACGTAATCAGTTCTATGCGCACAAGTTACTGCATCTATTAACGTTAAAGACACCTATACTCTAGATGACATTCGCAGGTACTACTTTGAGGTAATTTTGCTTACGCAGAATAGTCAACTTTCCTAAGTGTCTCTAACGTCGAAAGAGTCATCCAATGTATACGCCTGTCGCCCATCTTTTTTCATAGCTAGATGGTTTTATTTTATTTAAAACAATTAACATCGTGCCCGCGCACAGCATATGGGCCTCTCACGTACCGGTTAGCCCAGTCTACATACAACTACCCGACGTGTTGGCGCCTACATAGACCCAACGTTGCAAATGGAAACCAGCATCTTATTATCCTGCGCTCGAAGTTTATTTGCATGAATATCAGCCTCCTGTTGTCTCTTATGATTTACAGATGTTATTCAATGGAGAATACAAAGCAAAGAAATAAAATTGACAAAGAGGGAAATTGGTTACATCACTTTAAAGCTCTCTAGCATTTATTACATGACCAGCTATGAAATACATGAACTCCCTCCGCTGAAGCAAGAGCCCAAGATGTGGTGCGTTTGAAGATCTGAGCCCTGCAGAGCCGTGCCTGGTACTGCCCGAGGTTACAATAGAAATTGTGGTCGTTGGACTTCTCTTCTCCGCATGGGCAAGTTAGGGTAACGTTTTCATGCTGAAACCGCCAGTGGTAGTCTGCAAAACCACCATGTCCAGATTGTGCAGCTAGAAGATATCCTAGTGTGCGCCGCCCTAGACGAGCGAGCTCAATGGTGATCTTAGTATTAGGACCAATACCTAATTCTTTGTATCTAGAAAGTGCACTTTCTGCCCAATATAGTGGACTGAAGCCTCGTATTGGGCTTTGACTTCCCTTCTTGCCCTCGATATAGAGAGTGCCAAGTGTGGAGCCAGAGCCGCACAGGCGGCTTTGGCGAGCGTGTCGGCTGCTTCGTTTCCAATAATGTCCGCGTGGCCTGGCCACCATCGGATAGCCACGTCCCCGGGCGTCGTTTTTTGGCCGCGTGGCCTACTTTTTCACCCTTCTGCAAGCTTGCGAAAAAGATTTATTTGCGGAACTAGATGCTGTGGGCACATGAGAGAGAAGACGGAAGGCGGCTTCCTGGTTCTCAAGGCAAACGGTGATGTTAGTGACATATAAAGCCAGTGGATTGCTGAGTGCTGCAGTAAAGCCTTCCGTATTATTATTTCATTTTATTTTCCTGTCTGAGTCTATGACTATGTAGGACATGCAGGTCCTCTCTGCCTATAGGCTAAGGATACCTATAACAGTAGTTTATCCCCTCCTATGCCTCCCATACAGCTCTCCTCAAACAGTACCACCACTCACAAGTCCTCGTTCGATTATACACTAAGAGGAGCCCTTTGCCCTTCATTATCTCTCCTCTCCAGCCAACGAAACGATGGCCATTTGCGGGTGTATGGCAGCCGGGAAAAATCGTAAAAAACCACTGGATGCGGAGCTCTCCTAATACTGACATTAGGACCAAATCCGAAGACATGGTTATCCTTCTGAAGCGTTCGAAGAGGCCGGCCAGCTGGGCGCTGCAGACTTGTGGGTACCCCGGGAGATTCACACTCTGCCTTTCTAGCCTCCTTCCAACTCCTTCCCGAAGGTCGTGCCGAAATGTCAGAAAAGTCTTGACAGAGCGTGTTTGCTGTATAGTAGCTTAGCCTAGCTTCTTTTGTACAGTACGGGGCGCTGGGGAGTGCCGTTGACTCATCGACAGAAGAGGCCCTCCTGGCTAATTAGCCGAAATCTCGGTCTTGGCGCCCACAAATAATCCAAAGTTGAAAGCTCCTCGAAAGTACCGGTCCCAGCATGCTCTTCAGAGATCTATTCCCCTCTCTCGCTCCACATCTCAGTCGCCTGTCCTTCCTCAAATGTATAACCCCATTAGAGCAGCAGTCCCCTATAAACCATGACCCCAAATTTGTATATTATGACTTAATTTCGTCCTTGCGGGTATACGTAGCGTCGTAGATTTGTAGTGAGTGATGGCCGGTGATGAATGAGACAAGCTCCTGTTTGCAATTGGGGTGACGCCTTTATCGGTCGGCGAGGCGAGATGATATGTGGTTAGATCGGGGTTGAGGACTCAGAAGATAATGGTGAGTGCTGCATGATGGAGAAGTCGTCAAATGGAGATATGCATATGTTTGCTTTCGACTTCGATTCGGGTGCGATTCTTCTTGGCTATCCCAGATATGCAGAGCATACTGAGCGATTACACCGGCACCACTGGAAGGTGAAGAATTCGTCTTTGCCGGCAAGGCCTTCCGTAGCCCCGGCGATTTCAGCGTCATAGACTTCCGACAAGTTTCTGAGCGAGAGTGATCCTCGCCCGATCTCCTGCTTGAGACCTCGATAAATGACGTAGCCTGCACCTGCTCGGTCTTTTATGAGTGCTCCATCTGAGAACACGAAAAAGTCTAGGATAGGTCGTGTAGCCTGCTATTATGTGGAGAGATTTGATCCCGAGAGTCTATCTACTGCTCCAATTTTGATTAGCTTTTCTTAACAGGTGACGACCACGGTGGGGGGATGGTGTCCTCAGAAAGTTCTGGCGAGATTCTTTAGCGGATCCAGCGCATGCGGCTAGTGTTCCAACGCCTATGAAGAGGGTGAAAGGAATGAGTTGCTGCACCTCGAGCCACTAGACGACTATGAATTCTGTTAAGCCACGTCTGAGCTGGGCCCCAGCCTGCTTCCCGTAGAAGTGCTGCTATTGGCGTAGTGCGTTACACTAAGAGAGCTGCCCGAGCTGCATCGTTCATCATGTGCTGGATTCCCGAGATGGTCTTTTGAGATGTCTCTTTAGAGTACCAGGTCTCGGCTCCGTAGAAAAGGGTCGCAAATGCGGCACCTTGTAGAGCTTGTTGCAGAAAGAAAAGGCGAATTCCTCGGGTCGGCGTCGAGGGTCTTTTCAAATAGCTGGTGATAGCTAGAGACCTTTCTGCAATCCTGTAAGGTATGATGTACATGCGTGAATTGGTTTACTTGTTAACTAACTTTGATTTTCGAGTAAGATGAGACATTATGCCACCGGGACATGGAGCCCTCATCTGTTTTTCAGGCCTGATACCAACTTAAAACCTCTCGGTATCCTTTATTGGTCAACTACTCCTTGGGTGCAGAAAGAGCCGCCAATACTTCGCAGTGGTACTAGTAAACGAAAAGTGGGGAAACAGTGCTCTTCCTTTCTATTGAGTCATCTATTATTTACGTTTCTTTGATATTATGTCATAGCTAGATAGCTGCATATGCTATTATGATGCAAAAAAACAAAAATATTTAAACTACTCCGAACGCGTCCATGTCGCGGCTTGATAAACAAGGGAGGAAGAAGTTGGCTAGACAACAAATACCAAAAATAGAGTTTTTTTAATTTTACCCAAATGAATGAATTCGGCCGATCGACGCGGGCATATCACGATACAACGATCGTAGGGAACTTTAAGATCTACGGCCAGCTCGACATTACAGAATAAAATGCATTATTGAACCCTTGAGCTGGAGTATCTTCGCCTACGAATACCGAATGAAAACATCGTTGTTTTTGGCGAGAAGCGCAAACTTGCAGGATCATTAATAACATCTTGCTATTCTAACTTCAGCAATATCATGAGTCGAACCAAGATAATCACTAGGAAATCGGGTCCTAAGACTCTATTACCGAAAAAAAAGTCTCTGTCCACGACGTCAACTTTACTGGAAAATGACACCAGCTTATCAATTGAAAAAGATGTAGTCAAATTAGATAAATTCGACTGCCTCCCTGATGTGTCTTCCGACCCAACATGCGATAAGGTTTTGCAGGAGGAAGAAGAAAAGGCACGCTGTGCCAATGATCGTGCCGAACTTCAAAGACACAAGACCCTTGCCGGCAAGAGGAAAGCACTCCGGAATGAGAATAAAGCAGAGAGAGAAATTAAGGCTAAACAGCTAGACGATCTTCTCACCAATTGCGCCAGGTTTTCCGATATTCTAACAAAGAAGACTGAAGTTTTGGGGCGCGCAGGCTGTGGTTTAGATGGAAAGACATTGGGAGAGCATAATCTTGAGATGGCAACACAACCAAAGTGTATGATTGGAGGTCAGATGAGAGATTATCAGCTCGAAGGGCTAACTTGGATGTTCGAAATCTGTCTCCAGGGCATGTCTGGTATTCTAGCCGACGAAATGGGCCTTGGAAAAACTATTCAGACAATATCTTTGCTCGCCAAGTTTCGAGAGGAAGCGAATTACATGGGACCACATTTAGTTGTTGCTCCCCTTAGTACACTTTCAAACTGGCAAGAAGAGTTCAAAAAATGGGTTCCGAGTGTACCAGTAGCTTTTTATCACGGAGTTCCTAGTCAGAGAAAAGAAATATTTCAAAAAAAGCTACAAAAAAACTTCGTTGGAGGTCGGGCCAACGAAAAATTTCCCGTTGTTCTCACAACTCCTGAGATTGTGATAAGAGACGCCTCAGATTTGTCCAGGATTAATTGGGAGATAATAATTATTGTAATGAGCCCCTTCATTGGAATGCTGCTACTAAAACTTACATTGGCTGCAGGATGAGGGTCATCGATTGAAGAATTCCGAATCAAAATTATTTCGCATACTTCGCAACTTCACATCAGTTACTCGGTTTCTAATCACCGGCACACCTTTGCAAAATAATCTAAAAGAGTTGTGGTCACTCTTAAATTTTATATTGCCGAACATCTTTGCCAATTGGGAGCAATTCGAGTCCTGGTTCGATTTCAGCGATCTACAAGATGAAGAAGGAACGGAAGAATTTATACAGGACCAAATGAAGCAAGATCTCGTAAGAAAGATTCATCTCATTCTTCAGCCTCTATTGCTACGCCGTATTAAAGCAGATGTTGAGCACTTACTACCGAGAAAAAGAGAGTACATCTTATATGCTCCTATGACAAAGCAACAAATAGAACTATACAATATCATAAGCAACAAATCAACTGACACTCGGGAATACCTTGAATCAAAAGTAGTAGAACGCTTAGAAAAGCACCACAAAAAGTCCTCTCCAGTACGAGAAACTAACCAGACAACCCCCAAGGTCGAAATCGTAACCAAAAAGAATAAAGCCTCTGCAGAGATATTTGCGGGAAAAGGTGATGAAACCCGCGAGCCCATCTACAAGAAAGGCTCGATTCAACACATGCTGTTGGGTAGGAAGCGGAAGGCCCAAGAATCAATTTCGCTACCAGCCAAAAGGGTAGCGAAATCAGATCCCTCACCTTCCCCGACCTTTCCCAAAAGAGCTCAGAGGACCAGAAAGAAAGTAGAATATATCGAAGCGCCTATGTATGAGGAGGAATCACTAAGTGATGGCGAGTTTGAGGCCAAATTAGCTCAAGAAATGTCAATGGCAGATAAAGCATCCACTATCAGCGAAAACACCGAAGTGACGGAAAGAAGCAAGATAACAGAAATAGCAAGTGAGTATGAAATATTGAATTTGTAAACCACTAACCACCCCTAGAACGAGAAATTTCTATCAAGAAACTTGGAAACCCACTTATGCAACTACGACTCACATGTAACTCTCCTCACAATTTTTATAAAGCATGGAATACCGATGATGGACAGGATATAGATGAAACGATAGTCAACTCGTCGGGCAAGATGCTCTTACTTGATCGTTTAATCCCGGAACTTTTTAAGCGAGGTAGCAAGGTTCTTGTATTTTCTCAATTTAAGACACAGCTTGATATCTTAGAAGATTATGCGCAATATTTGCGCAACTGGAAGCTATGTCGGATCGATGGAAGTGTTGCTCAAGAAGACAGGCAACAACAGATCAACTTGTTCAACAACGACCCAGAGTACAAGCTTTTCCTACTCAGCACACACGCCGGTGGACAAGGAATCAATCTGACGAGTGCGGACACAGTGATTTTGTACGACAGTGACTGGAACCCTCAGCAAGACCTTCAGGCACAGGATCGTGTACACAGAATTGGCCAAAAAAAACCTGTTATTATTTATCGTCTAGCTACTCGAGGTACTGTGGAAGAAGCCCTTCTCCTCTCTGCAGATGCCAAGCGTCGATTGGAAAAACTAGTCATCAAAAAGAGGGGTCTTGTAAACATGAGCACAAAGTCTGATGCAGATGAGAGACTCTCGTCAGCGGAAATGAAAGCTCTCCTCCTCAAAGACGGACAAGCTTATCAGTACCGTGGTGGCGAACAAATCCTCAGCGAAGCAGATCTTGCCATACTATGTGATCGTAGCGAAACAGCTTACAGTCGGGCCGAAGAAGGACGTGATAGCAGTGAAGGATTCATGGTCGTCGCAACTCGCGCTAGTGGTATCATTTCTATTGCGGAGCAGAACAAGCTACCTAAGTAAGGAATTTTTAACCAGACTTTCGCTTATGATATCGATGAAGAACAGCACGACATGGCATTCTTCACTTGGAAGTTTATCGGGTAACCTCGTCTCATCTAATATTGCCATCAAAGCAGCTATGGCTTCAATATGTGAGGCCCAGTTGATCTAAAATATTATGTGCGCTCTTCTCGCGGCCAGGACGTCTCCCATATCTTGTCGCAGGAAAAATATCACTATTGTCACATGACGAAATTTAGTCCACGCGAATGTGAGCCCTTCTTACGAAAAATCACATTTATGGCTCATCAAGTCTGAGTATTTACTTGCCTCAGATTCAAGTCAAGTCAGTGAAAGGTTCACAGCAGTGATAAAATTAACCTGATTATTTTTATACCTGATACAAGAGACTTATGATTCCAACAACATATATTAGGTGCAAACCCGACATGGAGTTTGAGGCTTGTATAATTGAATACACATGTCAGCTTATATTGAAGTAAATTGTGGGCAGCTCTTGTGAAAGAGGGGAGAATGACACGCCATCCAACAATATCTATTTGCTCAAACAAAAAGCGTTCTGAGCATCACATGCTTTCTACACGACAACTTTTAGAGGAGGCGGATAAATAAAAACGTGTTGAGACTCTTACTTCTGCTTTTAGATAACTCATTTCACCTTCCTTGTTGACTAGCCTAATCATTGCTTAATGAAACTACTAAGAAGCTCTTCATATCCAAATTGAGGATGTTAACAGAATACGACGATGTTTTAGTTTAGTGTCGATGACTCGACCATAGTCAGGCTGGTCATAAGGTAATCTTTGATTGGCCTTATCTTAGCGAGATGAGGCGTTAGGTGTAATGATTTTTTAGTTTTAGTATGTTGTGTCTGCGTATAGAATTTAGTTTTAAAGTCATGCGCTGGCCATTTCAATCAGTAAGAGCTATCCAAAACGCTCAACTAGACACCATGTACTTACCAAGAAAGAGTTACTATAGGCAATAATGAGCAGGTAAATACCAGGAGTTTCCAAGCACAGTAAAAGCTCCAAGCTATCTGGTCCCAGCCCTTTTTAGCTTTATCATCCTTTCTCAAGGAGATTTTCTCGTCCCAGCCAATCAATTATAGGAGGCTATTTGCTCTCTTGGAGCCATGGATACTCTTATTCCTGCAGCCGTAGATAGAATCAGATCAAACGAATAGACGGTAAGTTGGTGCCTCGTATCTAGTCACCGCCCACAATCACGAGAACTAAAAAGGCGACGAATGGATGCTTATAGTCAATGTATACTGTGTCTCTGACCATTCGACGCATTAACGCGCTGAGGCAATCCCATCACACTAACAACCTGAGGATCAAACTTATAAGCCTGACCTGCTATCGCCTTCTTTCTATCGCACTGTTTGCATCAGACTCTCCTTCGACAGTAGGGCCCCTATCCTTCCCTTCCGAGATCCTCTTGGGCTACAACAACATATAGAAACATACTTCTACTTGGAAAAATATAAGATAATTTCCCATCGAGTCGAATTTAATCTCTCGGACGAGCAGCCAACATAGCGACGATTTCTCCCCATGACATACGTTAACGGGGCACCAGTAGGCTTCGATTATTCGCTTCTTTGAAGGTCTCTTCAATCAGTGAGGCATGCCGATACCTTGTCGTTATCAGGGCTGGGTCTAGTTTAAATGCTACACCAACCACACAACACGCCAAACTTCACGGCGCTACTCTGCCCAAATCAGCCATTTACGGTGTTGGCGCAGTGTATTTGAGGAATTTGTAGCAGTCTAGAAGTCTAAGATACATCTTGTTGTAATTAAGGGAGTAACATGACTGCATTACAATAAACTGTTCACATTAGAATAATGTGCACATGCGCCATGGGATATGATTGACCTAAATCATCACTCATTGGTATGACATAGTATTTCCCAATAGATTCCTAATGGTATCTATTGGCGCTAGGATCTCTCACATCCTTCCTTTCTCGGTTAGACAAGGACAGATGTTGGAACATCCACTAGTGTGCAGAACCCCCTTATTCATGTATATAGAGGAAGGTCCTGTCACGTAGATGAATCAAGCAATTCATACAATAGGAAATTCAAACAATCTCCATATTATTCACACACTTGAGAATAACAGGGAATATCCTCAAGTTCGTCCATTGATCCAAGTCCTAAGAGTATAACTCACGAACTTTACTTCTCTTAAAGCCATAGCTACCTCCTTCCATACCTTCATCCTAACGGTACGTCATTCCAGCTCAGCATAGCCTTTCAATACATCTAACGATAATGATCCGTCTATGATACTCGGATCCATACGTGATACTGTTCACTTATTTGTCACTCTCATCGCACATCCTCTCATGAATTAATTAGAAGAGGCTACCACTACTAGCCATAGCTATGTATCTTTACAAGTCACATTCTCACGAGACAATGAAGATTTTTTTATTTACTTTGACATAATTTTGATACATGAGATATTATGAAGCTAGAAAATTTGCCATAGGCATCCACAAGTCGTCGCATTCACTGATGTTCTGAATATCGCCAAATTTTCAAAGTAGGAATACCCTGCTGACAAATCAAGGCAAGCTGATCAAACATAAAGTATTGGATTCAGATGCATAATGATGAATATTGAAATACACAAAGGCCAACCAATAGCCAAATTTCTAACTTCCCAGCAGCCACCCAAGTAGACGCCGCTAACTATGGTCATATCATGACCCTCACTGATTTATTATCAGCCCTGATCCACCTCGAGCCTTCATGGGTTGAAATCGGAGACAATAAGTGTTGGAAATGGAGAAACGGAGTGTTGTGGACGTATGGGCCCTCCATTTCATCTAGGTTCCCGACACGATCTTGTGTGTATGTAAGAGGTTGGAATAGGTAATATGGTAGCGCTTCAGGCTAACAATTGGAGACATGAGCGGCTGTATGGCGTGGGCGCAAGGAGGTTATTGGGGGGTTTTCTATGCCTAGATGGCACCACACTCGTTTATGCTGTGGCTTAGGCTACGTGTCGCTTACACTTGTACTTGTAGCGCACATCTCCTATACTTTTAGCTTTAATCCGAACATGACACTCTTTCAGTCAACTTCTACTTTCGTTCCATGAATATTGCGCCCATTACATTGCGCGATATTTCCAACAATAAGCCGCGCAGAACTTAAACTCAATAGTAGTCACATGTTGTCAAGAGGTGGTGAGAGGTAGCACTAGCGTTTTGCCCAGGGAAATTATGTCTCCAACTATCTTTGATCTACTTCATTTGAAACGTGAACTCTATGTGTAAATAATTATTTACTGAGATGCGCAAGTCGCAATGGTTACCTTGGGAAATAATCAATCCTCCTGGGTATATCTTTTTCTTACCATAGCTCAGGGAGAGAGGTTGAGCTGCAGTTTATATGGTATTGCGACTGACTTTGTTTAACGCTCACGTCCATACCTCAAATCATGCCACGATATTAGATTTCAATTCCTCTTGACGGACAGAACAGTGTGGCTGGAAGTAGATTTGTTAGAATGCGGGGTTCAACGGACGTTTATTGTTTCTGCAGTCTTAGGATTCCCCAAAAATGCTGCAGTCTAGCTCGTACTTACGTATCACTGACAGGCTTATCTACGCGCGGATATGAAACTAATAATACAAGGTATATAAGATCTCGAAACGCACACCTCTTTTTGCTCCAAAGGAAACAATAGTCACCGGCGGCCAATGACTGAACATCTATACGCGATGTCTTCTACGAAACTGGTAGTGAAATATTCTCCCAGAGCCAAATTCAGTCAAATTTCGCAACGTCAAACAAGTTGGCCTACAACGCAATGATTCAAGTCTTCACTAAATCAATCTCTCCCTCCCAACGAGATCAATCCACACTAAAACCTCTTCAAGTTTACAAATAAGATTTAGTGCATCCTCATATGAATGACCACGCTCCTCATCAATTATTCTCTGACCTCAGCTGTCCACCAATCAAACGCCCACGCCGGCATTCATACCTGCTGGAAGAAAAAAATCGTCGCTTACAAATCTAACAGGCAGTTCTTCGAGATGTACGTGAGAGAAATCTGCGCAAGTATACGAGATGATGCAGAGGATGAACACCATACTTGCGGGTGCGAGGTTTGGAATTCCGGCAAGGAGATTTAAAAACTGAAGAGCATTGTGCGTGCTATGCTCTCGATTGCGAGAGACTGCCAACACAAGCCAACGATGGAATATGTCTGGGTCCGCCTCCTGGTGGTGATCTTCGGCGTAGTCTGAGTTGCCTTGGCAACAACTCCACTTGGGACAGAGGAGCCTGAGACTATATATTTTGCGCGAAGAAAGGTCGGTAGAAGACGGGGAGCATATCTGGATAACTCCGGGGTTTTGAGACAGTTAATTGGTTGGATATTCACGGACGAGGGTTACCTTGGAGTGAAGAGAAAGCCGCTATAACCTTGCAGAGGTACTTGCAAATCAAATCCGAGGCATGAGTGCTCTAGTCTTAAAGTAATTCATTTGTTGAGTACTATTACCCTGGTATTTTGTCACAGCTAGATAGCTGCATACACAGCTAAAATTCAATGCAAGAAATAAAACATCTAGTTTCGCCGTCAGAAGGGATTTAGCGCCAAAGTCACATTGGTTCAGCATCGATCACTCGAACTACAAGTTATGATTAAATAGGGACCCCGGTTCCTCTCATAATGATATCTATGATCATGTCAATCTTGAAATAATTGTAATTGATAGAAACCAGAATATGTAGATGTTTATTCGTGAGAGGCATGAGCCTGGTATTCAGAGCTTGCCACGGGCATGGCTACTCCTTTCAAGATGACTGTCTCCGAAGATAACTCAATTCGATATGTGGACTACTCATGAGGTGGGTGTATTCGCTGATGCCAATCGAGACCTTGTTGTTAGGGACTTTCAACCTTCCCTCAACCGTTAGTATCCACTTTAGACAAAACAGTGGAAAACTTCGGTTACCCTAACATGCCTCTGCCATCTTATATACAGCTGTCACGCGAGGTACAACCTCACAATTCTCCCTTTCTCGGTTGAGGTAGGTGTCCAGGCTGTCCATATTTCAACTCAGCAAGATGACAACCAGCCGGCGGACCACAACACCTTCCATCAGTGCCTGTTTTATAATTGTCGGTAGCACAATCTGAAATCGTAGCCTCGGCGCCCACAGACACCCTTAAGTCAAAACTACTCGAAAAACGTGTGTCCCGGCATGCCCATCTTTGATATCTTCACTCGTTCGTCCCACGTCCCAGCTGCCTGTCCTCCCTTAAGAAGTGAAGCCTCATTAGAGCAACGGTCCCCCATAGTCCAGGACCCGAGCTTTGTAGATTTTGACTTCAATTCCTCCTCGCGGGTATACATAGCGTCGTGAATGTGTAGTGGAAGATGGCCGGTTTTTGATAGGGCAAATGCCCGATCGCAATTGGAGTAACGCCATTATCGGTATTTGAGGCAAGGTGGTGTGGTAAGATTGAGGTGGAGGACTTGCGTGAGAATGATAGGTCCGACATTAACGAGAAGTCATCGATTTTAGATGTGCTGGTGAGTGCTTTCAACTTTGATTAGGATGCGATTCTTCTTCAGTTGAATGACTGCGAGGTCACTACTTTCTAAGCAAAAATGAAAAATTCGTGGTGACGTTCTGGGGAGTCTCGTCTAATTTGAAAGGCCGTATGTTCACGATGGTAAGACGTATAAATTCACATCTTTTTTTTAAATCGTCATAAATTCACATCAATTCGCTCATTAGCTACTTTGACAAAGAAGAGCGAGCTTAGAAATGTACTCTTCATATTACTATTGTAATTCCTTAGTCTAAGAATATAAAGGATATGTTGGTCCTCTCTGCCTACAGGCAAACGATACCTATCTAGTAGTATATCCCATCCTATGCCTCACATACAGCTCCACTCATACAGTACCGCCCCTCACAAGTCCTCATTCGATCATTCACTTAGAGGAGTCCTTTGCCCTTTTAGCAAACAAAATAATAGCCGTATGAAGGTGTATGGTAGCGATGGGATATCACATTGACCAAGGGATGCGGGGCTAGCATGATACCGACATAAGGACTATATCCGAAGACATAGCTACTAATCAGAAGCGTATGAAAAGGCCGGCTCACTGGGCGCTGCAGACTTCTGTGTATCTGAGAAAAGTGATACTCTACCTTTCTAGCCTCATTTCAGTTTCTCGCGAAAGGTCACGTTGTAATGTCGAAAAAATGTTGACAGTGTGTTTAATACAAAGAAGCTTGGGAAAATATTAAAGTGCCGTCTGAGGTACTTGAGAGTGCCATAGACTCATGGACAAGAGAAGTTCTCTTGCCTTACTAACCCAAGTTTCTGTCCTAGCGCTCACAAATGTTCTGTCGGAATACATAGGTGGTATTGATATCACAAGCTTGCCGTAGCAGTAATAATGATTAGTAGTTAATATATATCTTAATTAGTCTCATTCTTGACAGGAAATATATCTCTAAACGTTAATTAGTCCTCTTTCCTGACGACATTCCCAAATGAGTACCTTCTTACTCATCAATATCATTAGTCATCATTTCTAAGGAATAAAATGATTCAGCGCGTTCCAGAGTTGGAAAACGCCCAAGAATATTAGGCATGTGATGCCCATTAATAAACTTTTTTTAATTCGTCCCATTCCCAATTTTGAGTCGCCTGTCCGCCTTCAATTTGTATAGCTCTATTAGATTAACAGTCCTTCTCAAGCCAAGACTTGAGCTTTGTGCATTATGATTTAATTCCTCCTTATGGCTATATGTAGCATCATGATTTTGTAGTGGGAGATAGTCGCTAGTTGATGGGGCAAACTCCAGCTTGCAGGTGAAGCACCTCTTTTACTCGTCTATAAAACGAGATAGTATGCGGTTATATTACGTAGGATTTGTGTGAGAATTAAAGGAGCGACAATGACAGTTATTTGAAAGTAGAAAGGCTTATGTTTGTTTTCGAATTCCATTCAGATGTGACTGTTCTTGGCTATCATAAACATGCAGAGCATGTCTAGCGTTTTCCAGTAGCCCTGTATGGTAAAGAATTCGTCTTCGCAAGCTTGTGCCACACATTCACTCGCGGAGGTGTTTCTTCTATTCTCGAGTAATTTGTAAATCGAATCCTTGTAGAGGATAGAGTAGGAAAATTTTCACTAATTCCTAATAATGATCAGATTTTTGAGCTAAGGTCTTCCACATCCAAACACACAGTTTTAACGGCGCTTTCTTAATTCAAAGAAATCTCCGAGTATTCAAGGAATGAGACTTCAAGTATGTCTTCATATTTACGACATCCTAATTCTCTTTAAAGTTTAAGCCTAAATATGTTTTAGTATTTTCTTTGCATGGCTCTTTCGATCTACTTGGATTCATATCCTGCTTACGGATCTAGCCCGGATAGAGAGACAGAGCTAACAGCTAACGGTCGTCTCCCACGACTGTATCGAGTGGTCTGCTGGGGTGGCATTGGTGGTGCTGAATGCCAGCAAATTTATGGGTGTCGCTGCGCAAATGACGGCGGGTTTTATGACGGAGGTCATTGGCTTGATGATGGTCAAAGCTGTACTAGGTTTGTAATTTTGTACTCGTCTCCTTACTTATAAGTTCAGCTTGACCTATTTTTATCCTCCATCTATAGATAATACATCGAGAAAAAATCAAGTGATTTAGACTTGTTGATAGAACATGACCTAAGTTACTTTAAACATAATTACTAAGTTTTGGTGCCATAGTCGTCAATGCCATTGTGCACCAAACTGAAAGATGCGCCAGATATTTTAAGCTGTAACCTTCCCTGTGACAAGTGCGAGAAGTTTTGGAATTACATTGCACAAGGGAGAATATGGATGAGATAAATAAAGTAAGTTAAATTTTATCTATCAGAAATGAGTCGTCTTTAAATTCTTCTTGTATTTGTTTATCTAATAATTCCCTTAGAAAACTGTGCTTTATCAATAATCGATCAGATTTGTGGTTCTAGATAATTATTCAGATCTTCTCAAGAAAGGATGTTGCAGGGCCTGTAGTTGGTTAATTGACGCTTCAAATCCAGGAAGCAAATTGGAGAGTTATTTTAATTCAACTTACCTCGGTAGCGGTCAACCTGTTCCCACTTTCCCAGACTAGTAATCTCCTAACTAAATCTATGCCTGACTCTTCTACATTGACTAAGATAGTTTTCCAATCCTTTGCAGGAAATTCTTTGTACCAGTCAAACGGCGGCGTGTTAAATGTAGACGCTTCAGGCCAATTTTCTCGTGTTGGAGTTCCTAGAGTTTGAAACATACTGAGAATAAGACCTAGTTGGTTACCAGTCTCTGTTGTATTGCGTGAGTCAAAGAGACACTTGGGAGGATTTCGTAGGCATTCAGCAAGCATAGTACCAGTGGCCCAAAGGTCTAGAGGAGTACCGTAGCCGCGGTAACCGAACAATGTTTCTGGGGCTCGATAAGACGTGGTTCCAACCTCAAGGCATTTGGATGCGGGCGATTCAAAGGAAGCTGAAAATACGGGATGCCAGGCAGTACCGAAATCTGAAAGTAAAGCGGGTGCAGTATCGGATGCAATTAATATATTTGAAGGCTTGATATCCCTATGAATAATACCCTGTGCGTGGAGATATTCAAGAGCTGAAAATATATCGTAAAACCAATGTGCTGTTGATCTTGGAGGAAGAGTGCCTGCGGTAAGAAATGTTGCAAGAGTGAAAGCTTGATAAGGAAAAACCAGAATTAGACGATTAGACGCATCGCGAAATACTGTATTGAGCTTAATAACTGAGGGATGAGCGAGAGAAGACAGTATCTTTATTTCTAGCTCTGGATTGTGTGGTTCTGCGTTGTGTAGTTGCAAAATAACCTTAAGGGCTACCGCTTTGCAACGGTACACATCTGAGCAGAGACCAGATGAAATATGATGACATCCATGGTAGTTTCCAATGACTATACCAGGGGAATCTGGCCCAGTTTCTCCTTGCACGAGGTTTGATATTGGCTGTGATAGTTCAGCGTAGGCGTTGCATGCAGAATTATATGCATCCTAAAAACCAGCATATATTAACAAAGAACTTATATAATCCTTGAGAAATATAAATTAGATCTATACAAGATTATTTCAAAAGCCTCTAATTTCATACGGAGAAACACATAATCGACTCGTGCGTTGGGGATAACGTGTTTTCAATGATCTTCAAGTCGTATCTCACCCTTGATTGAGAGACTTTGTATGCTGTAGTCTCAATCTCAAAAGCTTTTTTTTGCGGGCTTTGGTTCAATTCTGCTGCCTTTAACTCTAATCGTTTTGTGCTAAGCACCTATCAACGATGTCTTCGTTGAAGTTTATGGTATTAACTCACATTCTCTGCACATTTTCATAACGCTCTAGTACCTTGATACCATTTCTCCAATTTCCATCGTCTTGGTCCATTCTGATTGTGGATAAAATAATACATTCATTATAATACAAATGATCTGAATACCTCAACTTTAGAATCGCTTTCTCTCTAAAATGTACCCCGCGTTAATGTGGAGATAGGCGACTTGATCAGATGAATGTCAAAACCTGTAAGAGCTATACTCATATAAAGCTGTGAGACCGATTGGATTGGGCTCAGGGTTTCCAATTCTAATCTCGTTGATTAACTTAATTTGCAGGGATTTCTATGTGTAGGAACTCCAAACTTGTCATAGTGTTCGCGCAATCGAAAGTTTCGTCCATACATTGGTTTTTATAATGCGCACACATTCTACACGACTGCAGTTTGGCCAAAATGGAAGCCTTAACACGGCAAGAATATCCGGCGATGCTCGTAAGTTTACTGTCACAAAACAATAAATAACTGTCTTGACTGCAGGTAGCTAATTGAAGATCACAACTTAGGATCGGTTACATCCAGGTACCGCAGTAATAAAATTGAATGAGCGTGTTAAAAAAATTGGCAAAGTAAATACTGAGATATCAGACTGGCTTCAGGTAACATACCCAAGTAGATGCCCAAACTACTGGCTTAACCTGCCATAGGAGCGACGGAAAGTTGAGAGTATCTATGCTGCCGGTCTTCGAAAACTTGCGAGAAGGCCACTGCAAGATGTTGGAAATGATATGGGGTAAATTTGAGCGACTACTCACCAGTTTACACTAACACATCTAAGGGTATTTGATTCGCCATGGAGACAGATAATGGCAGCTACGGATGATATTGCCAGATTTCACAGTGACTTTGCTGAATGTATCGAAAAAGATATCGAGCAGCCTTTACGGAATTTCACAACGACCAACAGTGAGATGTCGGGTATTACCACCATGCAAGGAAACATCTTAAGCTTATCCAAAGAATTAGAAGAGGCACAGGATAAAATCGAGAAGCTCAATAGAAGAGGGGCTAAAGTGAATGTCCATAAGGCAGATCTTGCTTCAAATAGATTACAGGCCGCTATACAGCAATGGGAGGCACAAGCCCCGTTTGTATTTGAGACTTTGCAAGCCCTAGATGAAAGACGACTAAACCATCTTCGAGACTTACTTACTCAATACCAGACACATGAGGCTGATATTAACGAACGAATACGCAAATCTGTCGAGAGTACTCTTAAATTCTTGCTTGACGTGGACACAGAAATTGAAATAAAAAATTGGTCACAAGCTGGCGCATCTGGGAAGTTCCTTCTAAAGTCAAACTCTTCAGGTGGAGCAAATTCATCAGCCGTCCCTCCTCAGACCGCTTCTTCGTTCCATGGAGATAACCATAGTGAGAACTCATTGCCAAATAAAGGTGAATCTGGAGGTAGGAGCTTACCGCACACATCCCACCAAGTCGCCCTCAAACTCATATCCATCTAACTAACATCTCTTTCAGAGAAGAAAAAGCTACAACGTATTGGAACAATTTTTACACGACGGCGTCAAAGTGTACACAGTGTCTTTCGTTCTTCATCTCCAGTATCGAAGAATGGTTTCCAATCATTTGGTCGGGTATCATCCAGTCGAGGAGGGCGCTCGATCCCTTCCCCAAGAGCTTCTTCTACTCACCTAAGAGAGACTGATGGTCGGCTTTGCTCTCTGCCCGAATCACCACCTTCAGCTTCTTTAACGCATGAAAATAACGGAAACACGCTACATGCTATTGACTTGCCTCAAAGAAAATCGTCTCTTCCAGCTCCCAGTGGTATGGGCCACAATGAATCCACTGAAGTTCCAGAGCCAGATCCGACAAATGGGTTATCGTCTTCGCAAACAGCCGAAATTCAAGTTGATGATGAAGGATTTACCATTCCACCGCCCCAGAATGACCCTATATCACAAGCTGAGCAAGAAATAGCTCAATCGGAACAACCCCAGTTCAAATTAAACATTAGAAAGGATCCAATTCTAGAACAAGACTCCGATGCCGAAGCTGCTTTGTCTAATGTTACAAATACACTTAGATCTGCTCAAATATCTACTCCAAACAGAAAATCAGGCACCTTTCGAGGAAGGAGAGATATAAGAAATACAGTTCTATTATCAACTGGGGAATCACTTGGAATCACTCCAGAATATCCTGAGCGAACCTCTTTTGAATCAACTCCATCTTTACCAGCTACCCTCCCCCTTACTTCCATTGCAACCACTCCGCCTAAACCCGTCTCATCTGGATCGGTTTCATCAGAGCCTATATCTACAGTACCAAACCCACCTGATTCGAGTTCTTTAGCCACTTCACCCTTAAACACTCTGAACCAAACTATTGCCTTATCGAATTTATCTCTTGGCGAGCAAAGTGCAATCGCTGGCTCGGATAGCATATCAATCCGGTCAGGACATTCTTGGACTAATAAGACTTCTTTACAACATCCCGAGATACAATCTTCTGGATTAAACTGTTCTATAATAGAGACCCTAGCTATTTCATTCGATGGAGAAGAAATTCAGACAAAATTTATGACTGGTGAAATTTCTTTGATATACAACCCAGTAACGGAAGTCGACTCAGCGATATCTCCAAGTAGGTTGCAACTAAGTCTTTTAGGCATTTGCTAATGAGTCCAGCCCACGAAAAAATAAGAATAACCAACTACTCTCGTATTAAAGCTATAAAATCAAATAGAATGGTAGTTGATCCTGTTTTTCATGAAAACAGCGATCAGTTTACCGTCAATCTTCTGTCAATTACTTCCAAAGCAGCCGTGGCGTTTTCATATCAAGTTAATACCTCGGAACCTGAAATGGCTCCGGCTCCCTTGCTTATTAAACGTACATGGAAGAATCAAGGCGATAAACTTGGACTGATTATTGAATACTCTCTCAACCCTGAGTTTAGCTCTACTCCAATTTCATTCACCAATCTTATCCTCATAGCTCGCTACACAGCCAGTCGTGCTATTTACTGTCAACTCAAACCTAGCGGTACTCATGTAAGGGAGAGCTGTTTAGCATACTGGCGTCTAGGCGATGTTATCCTTGATGGGACTTGGCTTAAGGCTGTGGCGCGATTTACAGGAACAGAAGGATCTGCACCAGAGCCAGACCAAATCGAAGCCAAGTGGGAAATAAATGGGATGAAAAATCTAATAACAAGTGGTATTAATATTCAGAAATTTGAGAGCATGACAAATACAGATTATAAAGATACTGAGGATGAGAACCCATTTTCGGACGATGATTTGACAAGTTCTGATAAAATAACCAAGCCATTGAGTGGGGGTTGGAAGGAAATTGAAACGGTGAAACGGCTGATCAGTGGAAAATATTCATTAAAGTAGAAAATAATTACGGGTGTGAGTCCAACATAGATTAAAAGCATAAAACTTAATTTACAACTTAATCCCGCCACTCCCTTGTTAGAGACGCTCTCGAGCATCCGATGAATTGGTTCTCAATTCGAATTTTAAGTGTTTATTTCCCTGTCGAGACTGTGACTGTGTTGTAGCATAATGGTCAGGAGAGGCTTAAACTGAAGGCGGAAAAGGAATATGATTGTAATCTATAGTGAAAGAGAACGACAGGTCGACCAACTACATATTCTTTTGTTTTGGTCAGATTTAAATTGCGTCTGAAGCTATCTAGCTGTGACAAAATACCAGAGTAATAGTACTCAACAAATGAATTTCTTTAAAACTAGAGCACTCATGCCTCGGATTTGATTTGCAAGTACCTCTGCAAGGTTATAGCGGCTTTCTCTTCACTCCAAGGTAACCCTCGTCCGTGAATATCCAACCAATTAACTGTCTCAAAACCCCGGAGTTATTCAGATGTGCTCCCCGTCTTCTACCTACCTTTCTTCACGCAAAATATATAGTCTCAGGCTCCTCTGTCCCAAGTGGAGTTGTTGCCTAGGCAACTCAGACTACGCCGAAGATCACCACCAGGAGGCGGACCCAGACATATTCCATCGATGGCTTGTGTTGGCAGTCTCTCGCAATCGAGAGCATAGCACGCACAATGCTCTTCAGTTTTTAAATCTCCTTGCCGGAATTCCAAACCTCGCACCCGCAAGTATGGTGTGCATCCTCTGCATCATCTCGTATACTTGCGCAGATTTCTCTCACGTACATCTCGAAGAACTGCCTGTTAGATTTGTAAGCGACGATTTTTTTCTTCCAGCAGGTATGAATGCCGGCGTGGGCGTTTGATTGGTGGACAGCTGAGGTCAGAGAATAATTGATGAGGAGCGTGGTCATTCATATGAGGATGCACTAAATCTTATTTGTAAACTTGAAGAGGTTTTAGTGTGGATTGATCTCGTTGGGAGGGAGAGATTGATTTAGTGAAGACTTGAATCATTGCGTTGTAGGCCAACTTGTTTGACGTTGCGATATTCGACTGAACTTGTCACGGTCTCACGTATTTTGGAGCTCCATGACTTGGAGGTAGTTTAGTTTACACTGGACACCAAGTTACTACACGTCTTGGCTAGACCCTGTCAGAGTTACCTAATGGGAACTACTGATCTCCGAAGGGTTTATGGCTTAGGTATACGCGTACATTGGATTCCCTGGGCTAATATCGACGAAGATGGAACTTGTAAGAGGTTAAATGTGTTGTAATCTGACGCTTTTCATTATCGGACTTCATGATGAGCAGTAGATGTGTAGCATGCGATGCGGTACGGGAGAAAGGAGACGGAATGGCGATAGCCGCTAGCCGAATTTAGGGAATTTGTCCACTTGTACATGGAAACACAATTCTGTTCTGCACAGAGTGAGTGATGAGTTTCTCGTGCTTCTTGAGTCCATGACTTTCCGACACATTAGGCACCTCTATGGCCCAGGACACACCTTGTAAAGTGCTCCTATCCTCTATTGTTATTTGTAAGATCATTGATATGTAGCCCGTGATGAATAGCCATTCAGCTCCATGTTTACTCGTGGAATTCGACCACCTTTTCCGCGGAACCTTGTATCCAAAAGAAAGTAAAATGTTAGCAATCGAAACTGCGTGCGTGGGAAGAGCTCTCATAAAACTTACAGCCCCAGCCAGGCGAGGCCTAGACACCTGGTCCACAAGAAGCTCGCATTTTCATCTATATCTCCCTTCTTTGTAACAGTCAAGACCGACCTGATCCAACCCGCCATCATGTCGGGTGCAGGGTACGCTCCGGAATCTCATCGGATGGCTTTTCCTCCATGATCAAGGGTTGGTGACGAGTAGGGCTCCGACCCTACCATCTGATCTAATCGTGGTTAGGTTCATGATAGTGGTGATTGGGGAATGTGTTGAGAGATGAAGACGATACATACCGCAAAAGCGATTGGGAATCCTCGTCGAAGTGAGGACTTTTTTACTCAATCTCGGCTCTGCAGACTCTACTATGAGAGCTGGAGGTTCGTAGGAGACACCACTGATAGGTGTTGACAATAGTCCCCTTGTTTCACAACGAATAGCCCTAAAATGGTACAACAAACAATAAGTTGGATCTTACATGTCCAAGTCTTAATTAACTCATCTATTATGACTCAAAAGCCTCTTTCTTATCCCTCTAACTCAACAACAAAGCTTCGACAAAATGACTTTGGCGCGCTCAAGATGAACTAGGAAAAAATGGATTCATGTAGATACCAATTTCCATAGAATTTAGATAAGATCAATACTTGTCATGCCAAGCCATTTATATAGTCTCTAATTATCTACTCAAACTAATAGAGATTGGCCTGGTGAGAATATTTTACTCATAGGTTAGTATTGTACTCCGCGGACATGTACCTAATTGTTATCGACCGGCTTACCACGTCATTTGCAGAATTTAAAAACCATCCTGACCACTACCTTCTTGACTCCCATCTTCTACGAAGACCACCTCAATTTCTCTTTGATTAAATGGTGGTCAATTTTGTGTGTTGTTGGCACATACTGAATTTGCTAGTAGATAGATTATGTTTGGTAACTTGACTCTTGATTCCTACCTAAGCTATCTATAGAGGGTTATCCTGTGTGAGTTCTAAAGCTCTAGTGTTGGAAGACCTGCACCTTGAACTAATTAGAGGGATCCAGGCATGTCTGAAATGGGAATGCTAGCTTGCACTAGAACGGCTAGGATTGTTTATGGGGAGATAAGTTGATATATTTATTTAGTTTAAATTCCTAGGCCATGTCCTTCTATCTATTTAGATGTAGGACCGATAGAGCCGGCCGAGATTTAAACTTTTAGGCTTGCCCTGCTCGTTCAAATCCATTTTAGAGCTAATAAATCATAAGCTCATTAATCAAATAATGCAGTAAAGAGAAAATAAATGAACAAAAAAATAATAATTGGGTTTGAGTCAGCATTCCTCGTCTTGAGCTCTCCTCCGCCAGCATATTTGCCCTGGCATTTATCCTAAAACCCGTCCCTGCATTCAGCCAAGAACTAGGATGCGTCCAGTCTACCGAAGTAGCCTGTAACCCATGCAAAAATTTTATACTTCTCTAACCTTTTATACTAGAGGAGTTGCCTAATAAAGGCATCTAAGCTTATGTCTCCTCTAAGTTTACACATCAGAGTATTGTAGCTGCGACAGCGTGTGAAGTTGGTGGGCGTCTTTTCTAGCCCATAGCTAAAAACCAGATTACATCTTCGCGCTTGAAGCAGCGGTGATACGCCGCAAAATCCCAATGCCCTGTTCTCGCGGCAATGAGTTCGTGAAGTCATCTCCGAGGCAACGATAATCCAGGAGGTTTACGTCATCGCACTTGCAGGTCCAAGTCTTGGTATCGAGCTGGACAAGCTATTGACCACCATTTGTCTATCAATTTTTGTCCTCGACTTTGTATGAGACGCCGAAGGTAAGGAAGACTGATATTGTTGGGTTGTTTCTGGCTGTCCGGAAGTAATTTTAGTGCAGCCCGAGCTTCTTTGTCTACCTCCACGTTCCCCTCTATGTTCGAGTGTCCTGGGACCCATCTGATTTCTACGTTGGATCTTTGCACAGCATCATGAAAGATGAGAATTAAGCGGCAGGTAGAAGCTGAAATCTCAGTTTGCAACGCTCTAACAGCTGCCTGGTTTTCGAGTAGTACGGTTATCTTTTCCTCCCCTTTTCTCGTAATAATAGCGGATCGTAGCGCACCTATTGCCGCGGCGATCTCGGCGCCGAAATTTTCGCATCCATGTAACTACCTCCGTTCCATCTTGAAGGTAATTCCTCCTCTTTGAAGCACATAGCCCGACGCTGACCGACCGTGGCCTTCTGAGGACTTATCTGAATAAGCACATATCTCAGATGCGGGGACCATCATAATCCATTTTTGGTAATTCTCCACTCCTTCCAACTTTGATCCAGGATTTCTCCAATATACTAGCCCAGAAAGTGGTTCAGTATCCTCCGCTTGAGGTAGTTGACAGTAAGCCTGTTCGACGCGGGACATCTGGATGTCGGGAGATAAGTTGATATATGTTGAAGTAATTTAATAATGATTAGCATTACAGAATTGCAAGAGCTCGTCGCCTATTCCCCAACTAGTTAGCTTGCAGACTAATTGCATAATCAGTCTGCAGCGGACCAAAGTGTATTCCAACCTGAGCTATAGCAACGGGCCATTGGTTGAATTTTGAAATGATCTAGCGCTAGACTGAAGAAGATGCGAGATGAAGATGAAGGAGAATTGTACTTGAAATGCATTGCTTGTTACTCTTTGTTGTAGGATTACAAGCTATGGTAGAGATGAGTTTTGCGCACGGGATGTTACGATTAGTTCAATGTCAGATAGAATATGTAAACCAGTATGCCCAGTTGTCAATAATCGGTGCTTTGGCAAGGATAGCAGACAGCTTGGTGGCCGTATCATGTTCGTAGTTGAACATAAGCGTTTATATTCATTTTTTAAAAGTTTCTTAAAACAATATACCATTGCTGCAATGCATTGCATCAGTGTTTTTGAGCTACCGTGGACACCAAGTCCTTATTTCGATTTAATAAACTTTATTTTCTGTTGGAATGACTGTACGGTGTTTTCACGATCGATCTTAATGATTAAGTAAAGATAGGTATGATTCTGTGTTGTTCTAGTAGCGTATGTTTATGGGTGTACAGGATTCACAGCTATAGCGTGGATCCAGTGTTTAATGGTGCAGTGGTACACCATCCGGACCGTTCTCCCAAGCAGATACTGGGTAGCTTGAACACCTACCTCGTTCGAGACAGGAGAAAGCTGGTTCGAATCCAGTAAAACCCACACACCACACTCTCTCGCGGTAATATTGTTCTTGTGGGATGATGAAAGCACACTCGGATAGCCACAGGGTTTTCACGCTTTTCCCTGTGGTGGGTATGCACGGAAGAGGTTATACGCCGTAAGGGTTAACTTCGAGTGGTATATGCAAATGAAATCTGAGTGTGAGTATTCTACATGTCAAGTTGAGTTATCCTACTTAAAGTACATATCTTCCGATAAAACCTGCATGGGCCTCTAGGTGCCAAATCAGGTAAAATGAATTACATATATATATATATATATATATATATATATATATATATATGCTATTTACATCCTTTCTAGGTCCAAGGACAGGCATTTTATTAGCACCGAACTCGATAAGCTATTACGCGAGCGCTTGGAATGAGAAGAAAGCGAAGTTCTTGAACTTTTTTAGGGATTTAGCTGTACGAGCCGTGTTGATAAAGTTGTGTATTGGATATTTGCTTTCTATCCTATTGTTTTCATCTAAATAATTTATATAAAAGATCGTTGAGATCTTATGCAATAGCAAGCCAAGAATTAGTTCTAGCCCGCTGGGGCACATCATGTCTTGAGATCACTATTTTCTACCTTAAATTCCGTGTGATTACCCGCCAACGTTACTAGACCTTGAGATCGTTGAAATCATCAACCGTAGCTGCGCTAGGAAAACACCCAATCAATTTGTCTATCGGGTTTATGTTGTAACCAGAACACCAATGCTAAATGAAGCGCAAAGTACAAAAATTCCAAAAGAAAAAGACATTTATTTTTTGCTTCGGTACCTTCGGATTTTATTGAAGATGATAGCTTTCGCCAGAATCTGTCAGTGGTTTCCATTTTCGATGGTTACTTTCCCATTTACGTGAGGCTCATGTCCATTTTGATGGACAGAGTTACCATTCATAATTTTGGGGCTTTCCAAGGGTTTGTCGATGTCGTTGACCTGAAGGCCTTCAAAAAGTTCGAACAGTTTGTTATTTTCAAAAATGTCGTTGTTCACTTTATTCATTAGTTTACACTAATCCTTTCATGTGGATTTGCTTACCAATGTTGACGAGGTACCATGTATCCATAATCTTCTCAATGAGCCGACGACTAGGACTCGTTGCCGAGTGACACTGAGCCCAATCTATACCAAGACGGAACGCTTCATCTTTCCATGCTAGAAAACTTATTGTCTCAACTATCGTTGGTTGCACGATTTCTTTGCCTGGGAAAACTCCCCAAGTCACAGCGTTGGGTCCCTCGTGAGTTGAGTTGGTCTTCAGATCTCCAGCCTTGTTCACAGCATAGTAGGTCAGGTATGCATCTTTCGAAACCCTTGTGAGGAGTTCATCGATAAGATAGGCCGGAACCAGGAGCTCTAGATAAGCTTTTTGATAAACATAGCCATTTGGAGGGCCCCAGCCATATGTTGAGTCGGATGACTTAATACCATTAATAGCAGGCTGAGAGTTTATTGTGAGAAATCCACGTCGATTTAGATCTTCCAATTCTTTTTTAATTTTGTTAGCTTCGCTTGAAATGGGTGCCTCACTCCATGGCAAGCTTTCAATCTTTCCATCCAAGTACTTGACAAATATCTCGGCTACATCTTGGATACATTCAGGTTCGCCCCAGAGCTTTCGATTTTGTTGATTGGAGCCCTTCAGACCAATACCGTAAGCATCGAGCTCGCCAAATGCTGGCGACCTGGAATCTCCCCATCTACCATTAGGAAATTCATCCCAGTCTTGAGTTCTTGTAACGTAGGACTTGTTACGGTTTTTCCAGAATATAGGGCGCACATCCTCATCCCGACGACCAAGGCTCAAGGATTGTCGCCAAGGTAAAGCTTGCTTTAGGGGTCGTTCCTCAGAGGGCGTCAATCCTAGTTGATCCAATACCATGCGAGTGGCTTGAGCCAAGTTCATAGTGTAGAAATGGAGATGATGTATCAGACCAGACGCAAGGATTCTACGGCACATTTCTGCTACAAGGCCAGTTCCAATGCTTCGAACAGCAGAATCATCGTTCTTTATGCCTTCCAATGCTGTGGCCCATTTTGGTGGAATTTTGCAGCCCATGTGATTACATCTGCGAAGAAAACTTGCATAAGTATTGATTGGCATAATACCAGGTATGATGGGGACATTGATACCCTTAGCACGCACTTTTCCGACCCATTCGAGGAAGTTTTCGACGTCGTAGAACATCTGCGTAACGATGAACGTACCACCAGCTTCCACCTTCTCTTTTAGATGGTCCAATAATAGTTCAGGATCGTCTTGGTCATCGCAGCCCTCCGGATATCCAGCGACTCCAATGTCGAAATGATCTCCATAGGTTGCACGAATGTGTTTGACCAGGTCTTTGGCGTAGTGGAAACCACCGTCAGTAGCAGTCCATTTCTCCTGTTCTCTGGGTGGGTCGCCACGGAGCGCAAGAATGTTGGTGCAGCCAGCTTGATAGGCATCCTTGAGGGCTTTGTCTACTTTCTCCAGTCCCATATCGGTGCAAGTCAAGTGCATACAGGTCTCCAAGCCGTACTGAGATTGGGCTACACTGACCATCTCCACTGTCAGCTGGGCAATATTGCCTCCGGCACCCCAGGTGATATCTATGAAGCTTGGTCCAAGGCCATGCATGCGGTCCATACGATCATAAAGATTTTGTACGCCTTGAGTTGTCTTTGGAGGGAAGAACTCAAAGGAAAAAGTGGGATGACCGGATCTTTCGGCCTCGCGGAGCTTGTCTTTGATGTGCATGATTCTTATTGTAATTTAATTGTCTTCGCAGTGTCTCTAGGTAGGTGTTGGCCACTGATTAGAGACGCCGATGTCGAGGTCAAGTAGCTTGTACGCACGTACCTTGTGAACAGATTTTCTTCAACAACAAGGATGTTCGTCTCAACAGTGGTCAAATAGCGCTAAGGGATGTACCTTTTTTTCTGACCAACAACGATTGTCACGCTAACTAAAGCCTAGGGACCATGGGTACAAGTAAAAGAACTTGAAGTGGGTGTGAGGAGTGATGAATGCTCGGGTTAAGGGTCGATATTTTGTGTCAATTGTAGGATGAGGCGAGATATGTCCATAATGTACTTCATTCCCTACTGGTTGTGAAGTGGGTGATAGTCGTAATGTTGAGAAATCAGACATAACTGGCGCAGAGGCGGTAACCCATATCCCTGTCTAGGGCGGGCCAGGTGGGTGATCAGTTTCTCCGCCCTGTTGGCCTAAAATAGAACTCAAGCTGCGACTCCTCATATTAAATTATGCGGCCTATTTGAGTAGATGAGTCAATAATTATTTCAGGTATAAGCAGCAAGTTTGTTGCCATTGCTCAAGATGGGCGTTGCCACATAGAGCTAACCTCTTAGATTCTACAGGCTTCCGTTATGACTATGCCTAGTCTGCCAATTCCGCCTGCCGCTATTGTTGATCTTGCTGCGGGTGGAGATTGTCTGATGAAGGCAAGATTCTACTTATCAAAAGATGCCAGGTATGGGTGCATACCGAAATCATCAAGGTCAATTCTGTCTGATGGCTGTCTGTTTATGCGAATTTATTATTTTGCTCTAGCGTCCACAAATCGGCAGATACCCATGACGCTGGGAGCAAGGGACTTTACCAGCTTTCCCAGGATATAATGTCGCCTTTCCCCGCATCAACCCCAGTCCAGGGGGATCCACCTACCGCCTGAAGAATTTGACGGAATTACCACGTGATCCGCAGCCCAGGTAGTGACATTCGGCATAAAATTCATTTTTTTGTTGAGCGACCACATATTCGTGCCTTGCGGTATCCTGCGCGCCAGGACATTTGGTACATGGCACATGTCTGGTATTAATGGACCCATCAAACCGTGGCTGCACGGTGAACATCAATGAGAGTATCCATATTACATTTAGCTCAAGCGCGCTGGGAAGATGATCTTATCATCTCTAGGGATGGGGGTACAATCGCTCGGCATGTTCTCCGTGCGTGATATAATTATTAAAATCGCATCCGAATTGGAGTTTAGAACATGTCCAGCAACCATTACTTTCCATGAATATGATTTCCACATAATTCACAATATTCGTCCTAGTCTATCTGAGCACAAATCAACTCACTGCACCAACCGACCAAGGAGCGACGTTGGCGAGAAAAGAGGCATTAACTATCAATCAAAGGCCACATCCGACTACAAAATGATAATGCTACGTATCGTACAAGGACGACTACAGGTCTTAATTTATAATGCTCTTGTTTTAGTTTGAGTAAGGCCTTTGTGCTAGAAGGACTTGAAACCCCTAGAGAGGATAGTTGGATAGAGCGTGGAAGATATGTGAGGGTCGTGGATAACCATGATGAAGCTGAAAATTTTTTGAAGGTTTTCGACTTTGGTGTGTGTGTGTGTGAGGATCCAAGATTGACAGACCTCTAGATTAGTACGAGGCTCTCATAAATTGTAATGCTTATGTAATGTTGTTCACGTTGGAGTCCGGGCGCAAGATAAGGGACACTGTACCTATATAGACGATATCCTGTATCAATAGGAAAACAAGTTACATCTAGTCTTAAGCTCGACTATACATATCGGTAGTTTGAAGCCACGAGACACTCGAATCCTACGCCATCTTAAAGCTAAGCTAATCTCACTTTTCACACAAACTAATCCATCAGGAACCTCATGTGTGTGTGGGAGCCTTGACCAAGCATCCTTTTTGTTGCAAATTTTGGGTGTAAACAATTTACACGGATATGACGCATCGCCAGTGTCGTATAATCTATCTCACTCAGTTTTAAGTAGAGAACTCAAGATGAATGAGACTTACCTGCTTTATAACAACAAAGCAAGGAGGGCAAGACTGAACACCTGTACGCGGTGTCCTCTACGAACCTGGGAGTGAAATATTCTCCCAGAGCCAAGTTCAGTCAAATTTCGCAATATCAAAGAAGTTGGTCCACAAGGCAAAAATTCAAATTACTCCTCCACGTCGTTTTTTCGCTCCCAAAGAGTTTGACGCCTGCCTAAGTCTCATCAAGTCTACAAGTACGACCTAGTGCATCCTCATCCCGATGACCACACCACTTATCGTCTTTTTCTGGCTTCATCTGAATACCAAATACACGCTCACGCCGATATTTACACCCGCCGGATGAAGTAAAGCGTGGCGCACAAATATGGAAGACCGTTCTTCGGGATGGACGTGAGGGGGATTAGGATAAGTTCATAAGATGATGCAAAGGAAGAATATAACCTCGAAGGGCGTGAAATTTCGAATTTTGGCAAGGAGTTTTAAGAATTCAGCTTTATGCGCGCCAAGACTTCGCTTGCGAGAGTGCAGCTGTCACTATAAATACAAGCAAACGATAGAAGGTGTTGTGTTCCGCCTCCTGGTGATGTTCTCTGGTACAGTTTGAGTAGCCTGGGCACCTACTCCACTTGGGAAGGAGACGCCTTAGGCCATATTTCGCGCGGAGAAAAGTTGAAAGATGACGGAGACATGTCTGGATAGCTCAGGGTTTTTGAGACGTTTCCCTGGGTGGGTATTCGCGGATGAGGGTTGACTTGGGGTGAAGAAAAAGCCGCCATAATTTCGTAGTAGTACTTGCAAATGAAATCTGAGGCATGAGTGCTCTTCTTGTAAATTGAGTCATCTTTTTTGTACTTTTCTTTGATATTGTGTCATAGCTAGATAGCTGAAAACAATATGATAAAAAAAAGTTCTCTTTTTTCCTCATGCAGTTTAATAAATCGATTTATTAGCCACCAACTCAGTTTTCGTCAAACCTAGGATACAAGAAATTCTCGGCGTTGGATGATAATTTCTATCACGAAGGCGAGACTGACTCGAATTGATCCGACAAAGGAGGAAGTGCTCAGGGGACTTCTCGAGCCTGCAAGCACAGATCGTAATAGTGTCCGAGTGGAGACATCGGGTAGTTTTATTTAGACTGGGCTAACCGGTACCTCAAGAGCTCATGTGCTGTACGCGGGCAAGACGTAAATTAACATAAATGAGTAAATAAACCTTCATGCTTCTTCATCACAATGGTAGTTAACCTGACCTGGCTCGGCCTGGCTCATGCTTAAGTTCCAGCAGGATTACCGTATATACTAATTACCCAACATGTTAACCTTCATATAAACACATAAATTGTCATGAAATACTGGTAACATGCCATAGAAATATGACAGAAAATGTCGGTTCATCTAGATCGTAAAAGTAGATGTGTCATCAAATGGGAATCACATGATAAAATCGGCATCGATGCACTAGCCATGATCCACGCCACAAATAGGTAAATTATTCATTAACTTGATTTGGCGCCTTAAGGCCTATGCAGGTTTTATCGGAAGATATGTACTTTAAGTAGGATGACTCAACTTGACATGTAGAATACTCACACTCAGATTTCATTTGCATATACCACTCGAAGTTAACCCTTACGGCGTATAACCTCTTCCGTGCATACCCACCACAGGGAAAAGCGTGAAAACCCTGTGGCTATCCGAGTGTGCTTTCATCATCCCACAAGAACAATATTACCGCGAGAGAGTGTGGTGTGTGGGTTTTACTGGATTCGAACCAGCTTTCTCCTGTCTCGAACGAGGTAGGTGTTCAAGCTACCCAGTATCTGCTTGGGAGAACGGTCCGGATGGTGTACCACTGCACCATCCAACCCGATGTAAATAGTATAATCAGGCAAACAAACTACTCCTGTTTAACGTAAATTACACTTTGACCAGGTAAAAGAGCCCCTAGAAACGTATGAGCTGCGTACGCAATAACTAGGAACTTGGTTCTCAAGAGAATGATTTTATACAGCCACCTCATTAATCTCTCACTCCCAACAAGATCAATTACGGCTAACGCACCATCCAGTGTGCACGTAAAACCTCGTAAATTCTCGTCTCAATAAACATACCTCTCGTCAAACAAATTTCTAGCCTCAAATGGCCTCCACATACACGCCCAAGTGAATATGAATACCCGTCGGTGTAAACACCTCATGGTGTGCAAATATGAGGGACAAAAGTTTGAGATAGAAGTGAGAGGTATCAGGACAAGTTTACAAGATAATACGGAGGATAGATTCAACTACGAATAGGGTGAAATGTTATATTTAGGCTTGGAGTTCTGCAAATTGAGGAGCATTATGCGAACTAAGTCTTTGATGTAGGGATTGCAGTTGATACTATATGCACCGCCATGGTTACATGGTGTAATGGTACGTCTGGGCCGGTCTCATAAAAAGAATCTCGGTAGCTTGGACACTTCTCCCACTTGAAACGAAATATCAGAGGTTTGAATCCAGTAATACTTCAACAAATTTCTTGCGGCGCTGGTGTACATAGATGACGAAGGTTTTAAATTTCCCTTTGGTATATATTCATAGAGGAAGGTAAACTATTCCGTGTAAGCAAACATACTTCACCGGTATTAGCGAATGAGATCCAGAGTAAGGGTGTCTTCCAAGTCAAAAGTATCGTACAACATGTACAAAAAGCACTGAAGAGAATGAATTTCGAACACCTGTCACTGGCGTATAATAATCTGAGAGTGAAACATACCCTCGTAGCGCCGGCAAAGTCGAATTCTTCACCTTCCAGTGGTGCTGGTGTAATCGCTCAGTATGCCCAGCATATCTGGGATAGCCAAGAAGAATCGCATCCTTCGCAACGGCAGCTTGCTGAGCGTGGCCCAGTCGATTTCGATTGACACATGGGCTAGGTTCCGTTCCTGGCACGATAGATCAAAAGTTTAAGTTTGGGT